CTTCGTACCACTTCTTCAGCAGGTTCTTGGTCAGGCTCCTCCTCCCTGTCCTCCTCCCTCAGTAGAGTGTCCTCCGCCTGTCCAGTCGCCGTCACAGTTACCGCCTGCCTCGCCTCTCCCTGCTCCCTCTCCTTACACTGGTCCCACGGGAGGTCTTACAGAGCGTCGTGAGCCTGAGTCTCGTCCTGCGTCGCCTGTTCGTACTGCTCGCACTGGTCGTCGTGTCCCACGTGAGCGTCCTCCTCCTGTCCCTGGCACTCACTACATGACTCTGCGTCCCTCCACTGCTCCTCAGCGTGTCCCGCTACCGTCTCCTCCTGCTTCCTCTCTGCCTACTCTTCCTGACCCGGAGTCTGACTCCCGTCGTGCTGCCAGTCCCACTGTCACCCGTCTCCTCGCTACTGTTGTCACTGACCCTACCTTTGAGTCCACCGCTGCGTCTTCTCTGGTCGCTGAGTTAGTTGACTTTGCTGCTGCCTGTCGTCTAGACTACGCCACTGGCCTTGTTGCTGAGTCTGAGTCTGAGTCTGTCTGTCCTCCGTCCGTCGGGGGTGAGTGTGCTCTTGGCACGGACGTCCTTGAGGACAGACAGGAGGAGTTCCAATGCTTTGCTGCTGCTTTGCCCCACCTCGTGTCCATGCTAGTTGCCCCTGAGGGAGACCCGGATGCACCAGACATCCCCACCCCGCGCTCTTACGCTGAGGCGATGGCGGGTCCCTACTCCTCTCAGTGGCAGACAGCCATGGACGCAGAGATGGCTTCCTGGAAGTCCACACGCACCTACGTCGACGAGGTTCCCCCACCTGGGGCGAACATCGTCAGTGGCATATGGATTTTCAGGGTGAAGCGGCCACCGGGTTCTCCTCCTGTCTTCAAGGCGCGCTACGTGGCTCGAGGCTTCAGTCAGCGAGAGGGAGTTGACTTCTTTCAGACCTTCTCCCCCACCCCGAAGATGACCACTCTTCGGGTGCTGCTGCACATAGCCGCTCAGCGCGACTACGAGCTTCACTCACTTGACTTCAGCACTGCTTTCTTGCAGGGCAGCCTGCACGAGGAGATCTGGCTGCGCCGCCCTCCTGGCTTCACTGGGTCGGTTCCTCCTGGTACCCAGTGGAGGCTTCAGCGGCCGGTCTACGGTCTCCGCCAGGCACCGCGTGAGTGGCACGACACACTGAGGACGACACTTGCGGCTCTTGGGTTCGCTCCCTCTACTGCTGACCCGTCACTGTTTCTACGCACAGACACCTCACTGCCGCCCTTCTACATCCTCGTGTACGTCGACGACTTGGTCTTTGCCACTGCTGACACCGCGGCACTCGCCCACGTGAAGTCGGAGCTGCAGAGGAGACACACGTGCACAGACCTGGGTGAACTGACAAGCTATCTTGGCTTGCGGATCACCCGGGACAGAGCACGGCGCACCATCACCTTGACTCAGTCACACATGGTGCAGCAGATCCTTCAGCGCTTCCGCTTCACGTACTCCTCGCCTCAGTCCACTCCTCTGCCTACCGGTCACTCGCTCTCAGCTCTGCCTTCGGATGAGTCCGTAGAGCCGAGTGGCCCGTATCCAGAGCTTGTGGGCTGCCTCATGTACCTGATGACCTGCACTCGACCTGACCTTGCATACCCTCTTAGTATCCTTGCACGCTATGTCGCTCCTGGCCGTCACCGGAAGGAGCACATGGATGCCGCTAAGAGGGTGTTGCGCTACTTGTGCAGTACGTCGGGCATGGGGCTAGTGCTTGGAGGGCGAGACCGAGTTGTACTTACTGGACACTCAGACGCTTCTTGGGCGGACGACCAGGCTACTCAGCGGTCGTCTCAGGGTTACACCTTCAGCCTTGGCTCCGGCTCAGTTTCTTGGCGTTCTACACGCTCTTCTTCTGTTCTCAGCTCCAGTTGTGAGGCTGAGATCTACGCCACAGCCATGGCTGCCCAGGAGCTACGCTGGCTGACCTACCTGCTGACCGACTTGGGTGAGCGGCCTCGTTCTCCTCCAGTGCTGTACGTCGACAACCAGGCTGCCATTGCCTTGTGTGAGGAGCACAGACTGGAGCACAGAACGAAGCACATCGCCCTGCGGTACTTCCTTGCTCGAGAGCTGCAGCAGTGCGGTCAGCTTTGTCTGCGTTACGTGGCCACTGAGGCCAACCTTGCTGATGTGTTCACCAAGGCGCTTCCGCCTTGTGACCATCAGCGCTTCTGCACTCTGCTAGGCCTTGTGCCTACTGGACCTCACTTACTTACCTCTTGACCTTGCTTGTACTGTGATCACTATATATATATATCTACCTGCATGTTTACTCTTGCTAGGTTGTGATCACTGTATCTCATGCTCTGTTATAAACCTGCATGTGAACTGGTCTTGTGACCACTAGCTTGTGCTCGGAATTTGTGTGGTATCCTTGAGATCCACCCTGAGCTTGTTGTTGCCTTGCTTTGCCTTGACTGGTCTTGTGACCCCTAGGTCTCCCCCACTTTGCCTATGGGGGTGTGTCAAACATTATATGTGTTGTGTTTGTGTAGGCTGTAGTGGGTTAGCCTATAGGGGGGTCACAACATTAGGGTTTCATATTTGTACTCACAATCCTTTCTAGTTCACCATTCCAGTCCGTTATTTCTGACATCCATGTCGTGAGTGCGTGCGGTGCGTTGCTGTGCTGCACTAATGGTGGGTGATTGGCCCATAAGGGATGTGATTGGTTAAACAACCAATCACATCACTATATGCATTCTGTCGGTGACAACGACGCAACTGTCGTGCCGGGAAAATTCGTTTTCCCCTCTGCGTCGGCGCTGTAGATGGCAAACTTTGCGTGATTGACGGTGGATGTACCTGGACAGCCGAAACTTATGGCACGAGCACGAATCTGTAATGGCGTAAATTCAGCCTACACTCTCGTTACAACTCTGATCAATCAGCGAACACTTCTAAAAAAACGCGGAAAAATCAGCCAATACATTAAAAAAACCTGAAGAATCAGCCAATACAATAAGAAAAAAACTTGGAAAATCAGCCAACACATCAGCCACATGTCTGAAAAATCAGCCTCCAAACCTAAATCAGCCTTTTTTCTCTGACATCTGACGCCCTGACTTGTGGTAACCGATGCTACCAATGGTACCTTCTCTTCTCGTCCTTGGCTTGACCTCCTTCCCGCCAGATTCACTCCTCGGTTTCCTTGTCTCTCTATACAGTAGATTAGCTACTTCAATATTCTGTCTGCTATTATATTAGTTCTCTATTCCAAGAATTAACGCACGACACATAGCCGAGCGTTTAAATACAAAACAAATATCGCATCGTGCTACTGCCGCCAGGGGGGTGTTGTGTTGAGCTGCTAGGCATCCGTCCAGCATCAGCAGCACAGCACAACAGATGTATCACTCACAGACCACTCGACCGCAGGGCTCTTGTTGGGCCGCCCACTCGTGTCGCTGCCCAGCAGCGAACCTGAGTGTGAGGCGACTCACAAGTCACCTCATAGATCACTCCAGCGACAGCATGGCAGGCGGCATTGCGCATGTCACCTTTCACTTGCCGTGACACGTGTGTGAGGCTACTAAAAAAACGGTCAGTCACTCCTCCAGTGAGAGCACGATGAAGGCGTCACTGAGCGACCATTGCCGGGCGGCGCTCTTGTTGGGTGGGTTCAGCACCGCCACCTCCTCGCCGCCCAGGCGGTACCCAATCACAATCTCTAGGCGCTGCCGCGCACGCACCATCACCTCAAAGAAGCTCAGCTCCTCCCCATCGTATAAATACAGCTCTGCCGGGCGAATGTACATCTCGTTGCCCTGGTGGGGGTGTGTGGGGGGGGGGGGGGGATGAGGGGTTGGATGGGGGTCTTGGTTCGACACGAAACGCACCATCGCTCTGAAGCACCTCAGCTCCTCGCCCTCCTGTACAAATACAGCTCGGCTGGCCTGGTTGGTGCGACGCGGGAGGGTTTTTGAAAATGGGGATGCATAGGCTGGTGACGCCGCTGGTGCATGCAGGAATACAATGGGTTGCATGCACAGTAGAATGTGGTGTGTGGCCTGGCGAGCAGTGCTAAAGAGATTCAGAAGGAAACAAAGGAGGCCTGGGAGCAACGGTGAATGAAGAGCAGGCAAGAACGAGAGGAATAATGAATGGCAGGAAGAACGAGAGAAATAATGAATGGCGGGAAGCATACCTCTTCTGAGAAGAGCTCTTCCAGCACCCGGTTAATCTCCCGATCCTCCGACACCTGCTCGCAGGGAAGCGTTGTAGTTGGCAAGCACAGGGGATGAGGGGTAGAGGCAGGTCTCAAACGTGTTTGGCAGGTCTCAAACGTGTTTGGCAGGTCCCAAACGTGTTTGGCAGGTCTCAAACGTGTTTGGCAGGTCTCAAACGTGTTTGGCAGGTCTCAAGCGTGTTTGGCAGGTCTCAAGCGTGTTTGGCAGGTCTCAAGCGTGTTTGGCAGGTCTCAAACGTGTTTGGCAGGTCTCAAACGTGTTTGGCAGGTCTCAAACGTGTTTGGCAGGTCTCAAACGTGTTTGGCAGGTCTCAAACGTGTTTGGCAGGTCTCAAACGTGTTTGGCAGGTCTCAAACGTGTTTGGCAGGTCTCAAACGTGTTTGGCAGGTCTCAAACGTGTTTGGCAGGTCTCAAACGTGTTTGGCAGGTCTCAAACGTGTTTGGCAGGTCTCAAACGTGTTTGGCAGGTCTCAAACGTGTTTGGCAGGTCCAGGATGTCTCAAACGTCTGAGAAGAGCTCTTCCAGCACCCGCTTGGGTGGGTCACATGGGTGGGTCGCATTTGGAGTGCACATGGTTTGAGGAGCAAATGAAGAGTCAACAGGGAAGTGGAGGACTGAGCAGGAAGATATTTGGGTTATGGCGATGAAGGTGAGCTTGTTAGTGAGAGAGCAGAGAGTCACTATTCTTAGAAACAGAGACGAGCGTGTGCAACAGTGGACGAGCAAAGGGATGTGGTACCATGGACAGTGATGGTCAGGCAAGCCAGGCACGTACCATGGCGAGGGCCATGGAGACGAGCTCATTGGAGAGCACATAGTCACTGATCTTAGACACGGCGACGAGGGAGCGCGTGCGCGAGTCGAGAATCTCGGAGATGACAATTGACTGCTGCGACGCCTTCTGCATCTGCCGAATCCACGACCCCCCATTCCCATTCCCGTTTGCACTCCCCATTCCACCGCCTCCACTGGGACCACTCGCACCATCCGCCCCTGATCCCGCCCCTGCCCCTGCGCCTGCCCCCAACGCTGCTGCTCCCAGGCCGCCAGCAGCGAAAGCAGCAGCGGCGGCGGCGGCGGCAGCAGCGGCAGCGCCAGGCATGATGCGTGTGGCGCGGGGGGACCTGGGGGCAGGGGCGCCGGAGAAGCAGACCTCGTAGGGCATGCGCTTGGACTGCAGGGAGAGAGGGGGAGGGTGGGAGAAGGGGAGAGGAACGGGTTGGAGCGTGTGAGGAGAGGGAGGGGGGTTTCTGAGGCGCTAGAGAGAGAGGGGGAGGCGGGGGGAAGAAGGGCGTGAGGAGGGTGGGGAAGGGGTTGAGGAAGGAGGACAGTCACTTCAAAAACCACCTCGTAGGCACGCGCTTGGAATGCGTGGGCAGCGGAGGGAGAGCATGGTATGAATTGCGGAGTGTGCGCGAGGGAGAGGAGGGAATGCACATGACACATGAATGTGGATGGTGCAATCGAATGATCAAGGGATTTGAGGCCTTGGAGCTTGGGCCTTGGGACAAGGGGGGGAGAGAGAGAGAGAGTGATTGCCCATAAACCAGCCACCAGAACCCGTTTATGAGACCAGGACAAGAGAGAGAAGCGATTGCCAGGGAGCAGCAGCAGCAGAGTGGCTGGGGAGCTGGAGTTGAGCCCTATACTTCCCAGCTACAATTGACCCTTGCGTCTTGCACTGGCAAATTGGACGAGGGCCCAGCCCATGAACCTGGTGAGCGGAGCTTGACGTGCAGCAGCATCACCTGGATGTCGCGGATGAGCAGCAGCGTGGCGAGTGAGCGCGAGTCAGAGTTGATCACCGAGTCCTCCACGCCCTCGTCCGCTAGAATCAGGATCTGATTTGATTGGGCGGGATACAGCAAGAGAAGAGAACCCGCGGGATTGCTTTGCAACCGTCGAGCCCCTCATGACCGTTTCTAGGTGACTAGGTAGGAACCGAATCATTAGACTCACCAACCTTTGCATGCTTTTACTCTGGCCTATATTAATGAGGGACCATTCGAGAAGAGATAGGGGAGAGAGGGAGAGAGAAGGTAACAAAAGCACTTGAGAGTGAGTGTGAGTGCGAGTGCGAGTGTGAGTGCGAGTGCGAGTGCGAGTGCGAGTGTGAGTGTGAGTGCGAGTGTGAGTGCGAGTGCGAGTGCGAGTGCGAGTGAGGGTTGATCCCCAAGTCCTCCTCTCCTCCCTCTCATCCGCCAGAATGAGGACCTGTAAGGGGATTTCGGAGAGGGGAGAGAGGAGCGGGTAGAACGAGCACTTGAGGTTGAGATGAGAGTTTTTGGGAGAGGCGCCGAGAAGGAGCAGTGCAGCAAGTGTCAGGCCACTCCAATTGTGAGTATTTGAACGAATGACTCCAATAGAGCGGAAAGGCTCACCGAGTCAATTCTCAGAATTGACTCTTCTCAGACCCACCGAGTCACCGAGTCAAAGGTCTCGGGGGGAGGCTCACCGAGTCAAAGGTCTCGAGGGGGAGGCTCACCGAGTCAAAGGTCTCGAGGGGGAGGCTCACCGAGTCAAAGGTCTCGAGGGGGAGGCTCTCGAGGTGGCGGCGAATGACAGCATTGCCGACGCGGTGCACGAGCGCCACGTTCTCCAGGTCGCCCGGGTTGAGCCCGCCCTCCATCAGCCGCTCCTCCCTCTCCTCCACCGGCACCTCACAGAATATCCACAGCTCCGACCCGCGCGCTAGAAATGCCTCGAGCACCTGGTGTGGGGGGAGGCAAAGAGAGAATGACATGGGGCTAGAAGGGTCTCGAGCACCTGGTGTGATGTGGGGGGAGAGGGGTTGAGAGCAACAAAGGAGGCGAACGACACGACACGCCATGCCACAAGAGAGCACAGTGGAAATGGAAACTTCCACGTATGACTCGACATCGACAGTGCGCCATGAGTTATGACACGGCATGGCATGCTGCACCCGCCCCCACATGGCCCTCACATGGCCCTCACATGGCCCTCACATGGCCCTCACATTCTATACGACAGAATCAAATGCCGCACCACAATCATGCCCGTACCACAATCATGCCCGTACCACAATCATGCCCGTACCACAATCATGTCGTCAATGTCGCGCCGCCATCCGCAGAATAGAATCTTTTCGGGCAGCTTGGGCGGCACGACGACGTCGGGCAGCATGGCATGGCGCACGTGCGGCAGCGGGCCGGGCGCATACGAGTCATCATCCTCCGCCACCACCAACACTGCATCGTCGGGCTGATGGAGATGAGGGAGGAGAAAGATAAGAGATGACATGACATGGTGGTTAGCTTCTCAGATCCGGTGCACTCACAGACCACACCGGGCGCATACGAGTATCCATGCGACCCACCCATGTGAGGAAGAAGCACCGGGCGGTGGCACGGATGTGAGGAAGCAGCACCGGGCGGTGGGTGGCACGGATGTGAGGAAGAAGCACCGGGCGGTGGGTGGCACGGATGTGAGGAAGAAGCACCGGGCGGTGGGTGGCACGGATGGAGTGCCTCACAAAATAAGAGGCCGTGGCGGCGGCAGTGCGGGGAAGAGGACATGCGTTGGAATCATGTGCAGCCCAATGATGTGCAGCCCAATGATGTGCAGCCCAATGATGTGCAGCCCAATGATGTGCAAAAAGAAGGCATGCAATGATGTGCAAAAGAGCAGCGCCACCTTTTCCCGACCCACATGCAGCACGTAGTCGTCATCCGGGTTGAGCCAGATCCTCCCTCCATCCCCGGCGATGCGCACTCCACACGGCACGGCATCGGGAAACGAGATGAGCACGTCACTGAAGGGCCTGCCCGCCAGCTGCGGCCAGTGCTTGACGTAGAACTCGCAGTTGTCAAACCCCAGCAGCGCCTCCCATATCTGCGCCAGCCCTGGCTGCCGCGCGCACTGAATCATCAGCCGCCCGATCACGTCGTGAGCCACCACCGTCTCCACCTGCTGCCCGCCCACCATCTGCGTGAGGGAGGCAGGAGTGAGGAGCGGACAGCAGGGGGGAACGTGGGGAAGAGGGGGGGCCGGGGGTTGAGCATTTACAGCCCCAGCTGCCGCGCGCACTGCACTGGATCATCAGCGCAGCCGCCCGATCACGTCGTGTGCTACCACTGTTACCACGTGCTGCCCTCCCACTCCCACCATCTGCGTGGTTTGAAGGGATGTGGGGAGGGGGACAGCGGCGGAAGGGGAGGGAGCAGCGGGGTGGAAAGAGGAAGGGGTGGGGAGAGGGCGGCGGACGGGGGCAAGGGGTACGAAACAGCACCAAACCTTTGCCCCACCCAAAGCCAGGGTGCGAAATCTTGTCCTCCTTTCCACTCCGCCCCCTAATGATCTCCCCTTTCCACTCCGCCCCCAACGATCTCCCCTTTCCACCCACGCGCCTGCTCACCTTCACGAGTGCCTCGTTATCGAGGTCAGAGAGCTCGACGACAATGTGGCCTCGCAGCCCCTCGCGCACGCCAGTGAGCGACAGCACCACTCTCAGCGCGCGCGCATCTGCTGCATCGGCGTTCTCCGCCTCTGCCAGCACTATGAGGGAGCGCGCCGTGCTCACTGACACCTTCTTTAGGTCCGCTAGCACGAGAGGGGAACCAGACCTGCCAAATGGGAGGGAGGCACAAGCAAGCGAGAGAGAGAGAGGAATGAAAGGCAGAGCGGGCGCCACGATGGGGAGCGCGCTGTTTTCACTGACGCCTTGTTCAAGTCGGCTAGGAGTAGGGGGAGGCAGACCTGTTGGAGAGGGGAGGGGGAAAACGTGGACGACGAGGGGCACAAGGCAGAGTGGGCAGCACGATGGGGAGCGCGCCGTGCTCTGCTCACTGATGCCTCTTTCAAGTTCAAGTCGGCCACAACAAGCGGAGAGCCCGAAGAAGGAGGAACGGGAGTGGAGGGAAGGAGGGCCGTGCTGTTGGCAGTTGGAGGACGACAGAGGTGGGGAGAAAGACAGAGGTGGGGAGAAAGGCAGAGGTGGGGAGAAAGGCAGAGGTGGGGAGAAAGGCAGAGGTGGGGAGAAAGACAGAGGTGGGGAGAAAGGCAGAGGTGGGGAGAAAGACATGGTATGGCACACATATGCAGACATGGTATGGCACACATATGCAGACATGGTATGGCACACATATGCAGACATGGTATGGCACACATATGCAGACATGGTATGGCACACATATGCAGACATGGTATGGCAAACATATGCAGACATGGTATGGCACACATATGCAGACATGGTATGGCACACATATGCAGACATGGTATGGCACACATATGCAGACATGGTATGGCACACATATGCAGACATGGTATGGCACACATATGCAGACATGGTATGGCACACATATGCAGACATGGTATGGCACACATATGCAGACATGGTATGGCACACATATGCAGACATGGTATGGCACACATATGCAGACATGGTATGGCACACATATGCAGACATGGTATGGCACACATATGCAGACATGGTATGGCACACATATGCAGACATGGTATGGCACACATATGCAGACATGGTATGGCACACATATGCAGACATGGTATGGCACACATATGCAGACATGGTATGGCACACATATGCAGACATGGTATGGCACACATATGCAGACATGGTATGGCACACATATGCTGACAGGACATGCCACGCGGTGTGGGTTGTAAGAGAGGATGAGAGCGCACCTGCAGATGACGGAGGTGCCTTTGAGCGCACCTGCAGATGACGGAGGTGCCTTTGAAGGCGAACTCCATCTTGGCGATCTCACTCTCCATCTCCTCCTTGTCGCGCTCCGCCATCACCACCACCACCCCGCCCCCCATGCTCTCATTCGCCACCGCCAGCTGCTTCAGCAGCGACGCCTGAGAGGGTGAGCATGGGGCAAGAGGGGGAGACGGGAGGGTGGGGATCGGATAGAGAGAAAGCCAGGGGGTTGGATAAGAATGAATCACCACCACGCCGCCGCCCCTCGTGCTCCCATTCGCCAGGGATAGCTGCTTGAGCAGCGACACTAGCCTGGAGGAGACGGCACGGCATGAGAGGAAGGAGCGCACATGGTAAGGAACACACATGGTAAGGAACACACATGGTAAGGAACACACATGGTAAGGAACACACATGGTAAGGAACACACATGGTAAGGAACACACATGGTAAGGAACACACATGGTAAGGAACACACATGGTAAGGAACACACATGGTAAGGAACACACATGGTAAGGAACACACATGGTAAGGAACACACATGGTAAGGAACACACATGGTAAGGAACACACATGGTAAGGAACACACATGGTAAGGAACACACATGGTAAGGAACACACATGGTAAGGAACACACATGGTAAGGAACACACATGGTAAGGAACACACATGGTAAGGAACACACATGGTAAGGAACACACATGGTAAGGAACACACATGGTAAGGAACACACATGGTAAGGAACACACATGGTAAGGAACACACATGGTAAGGAACACACATGGTAAGGAACACACATGGTAAGGAACACACATGGTAAGGAACACACATGGTAAGGAACACACATGGTAAGGAACACACATGGTAAGGAACACACATGGTAAGGAACACACATGGTAAGGAACACACATGGTAAGGAACACACATGGTAAGGAACACACATGGTAAGGAACACACATGGTAAGGAACACACATGGTAAGGAACACACATGGTAAGGAACACACATGGTAAGGAACACACATGGTAAGGAACACACATGGTAAGGAACACACATGGTAAGGAACACACATGGTAAGGAACACACATGGTAAGGAACACACATGGTAAGGAACACACATGGTAAGGAACACACATGGTAAGGAACACACATGGTAAGGAACACACATGGTAAGGAACACACATGGTAAGGAACACACATGGTAAGGAACACACATGGTAAGGAACACACATGGTAAGGAACACACATGGTAAGGAACACACATGGTAAGGAACACACATGGTAAGGAACACACATGGTAAGGAACACACATGGTAAGGAACACACATGGTAAGGAACACACATGGTAAGGAACACACATGGTAAGGAACACACATGGTAAGGAACACACATGGTAAGGAACACACATGGTAAGGAACACACATGGTAAGGAACACACATGGTAAGGAACACACATGGTAAGGAACACACATGGTAAGGAGTACATGGTAAGGAACACACATGGTAAGGAACACACATGGTAAGGAACACACATGGTAAGGAACACACATGGTAAGGAACACACATGGTAAGGAACACACATGGTAAGGAACACACATGGTAAGGAACACACATGGTAAGGAACACACATGGTAAGGAACACACATGGTAAGGAACACACATGGTAAGGAACACACATGGTAAGGAACACACATGGTAAGGAACACACATGGTAAGGAACACACATGGTAAGGAACACACATGGTAAGGAACACACATGGTAAGGAACACACATGGTAAGGAACACACATGGTAAGGAACACACATGGTAAGGAACACACATGGTAAGGAACACACATGGTAAGGAACACACATGGTAAGGAACACACATGGTAAGGAACACACATGGTAAGGAACACACATGGTAAGGAACACACATGGTAAGGAACACACATGGTAAGGAACACACATGGTAAGGAACACACATGGTAAGGAACACACATGGTAAGGAACACACATGGTAAGGAACACACATGGTAAGGAACACACATGGTAAGGAACACACATGGTAAGGAACACACATGGTAAGGAACACACATGGTAAGGAACACACATGGTAAGGAACACACATGGTAAGGAACACACATGGTAAGGAACACACATGGTAAGGAACACACATGGTAAGGAACACACATGGTAAGGAACACACATGGTAAGGAACACACATGGTAAGGAACACACATGGTAAGGAACACACATGGTAAGGAACACACATGGTAAGGAACACACATGGTAAGGAACACACATGGTAAGGAACACACATGGTAAGGAACACACATGGTAAGGAACACACATGGTAAGGAACACACATGGTAAGGAACACACATGGTAAGGAACACACATGGTAAGGAACACACATGGTAAGGAACACACATGGTAAGGAACACACATGGTAAGGAACACACATGGTAAGGAACACACATGGTAAGGAACACACATGGTAAGGAACACACATGGTAAGGAACACACATGGTAAGGAACACACATGGTAAGGAACACACATGGTAAGGAACACACATGGTAAGGAACACACATGGTAAGGAACACACATGGTAAGGAACACACATGGTAAGGAACACACATGGTAAGGAACACACATGGTAAGGAACACACATGGTAAGGAACACACATGGTAAGGAACACACATGGTAAGGAACACACATGGTAAGGAACACACATGGTAAGGAACACACATGGTAAGGAACACACATGGTAAGGAACACACATGGTAAGGAACACACATGGTAAGGAACACACATGGTAAGGAACACACATGGTAAGGAACACACATGGTAAGGAACACACATGGTAAGGAACACACATGGTAAGGAACACACATGGTAAGGAACACACATGGTAAGGAACACACATGGTAAGGAACACACATGGTAAGGAACACACATGGTAAGGAACACACATGGTAAGGAACACACATGGTAAGGAACACACATGGTAAGGAACACACATGGTAAGGAACACACATGGTAAGGAACACACATGGTAAGGAACACACATGGTAAGGAACACACATGGTAAGGAACACACATGGTAAGGAACACACATGGTAAGGAACACACATGGTAAGGAACACACATGGTAAGGAACACACATGGTAAGGAACACACATGGTAAGGAACACACATGGTAAGGAACACACATGGTAAGGAACACACATGGTAAGGAACACACATGGTAAGGAACACACATGGTAAGGAACACACATGGTAAGGAACACACATGGTAAGGAACACACATGGTAAGGAACACACATGGTAAGGAACACACATGGTAAGGAACACACATGGTAAGGAACACACATGGTAAGGAGAACACATGGTAAGGAACACACATGGTAAGGAACACACATGGTAAGGAACACACATGGTAAGGAACACACATGGTAAGGAACACACATGGTAAGGAACACACATGGTAAGGAACACACATGGTAAGGAACACACATGGTAAGGAACACACATGGTAAGGAACACACATGGTAAGGAACACACATGGTAAGGAACACACATGGTAAGGAACACACATGGTAAGGAACACACATGGTAAGGAACACACATGGTAAGGAACACACATGGTAAGGAACACACATGGTAAGGAACACACATGGTAAGGAACACACATGGTAAGGAACACACATGGTAAGGAACACACATGGTAAGGAACACACATGGTAAGGAACACACATGGTAAGGAACACACATGGTAAGGAACACACATGGTAAGGAACACACATGGTAAGGAACACACATGGTAAGGAACACACATGGTAAGGAACACACATGGTAAGGAACACACATGGTAAGGAACACACATGGTAAGGAACACACATGGTAAGGAACACACATGGTAAGGAACACACATGGTAAGGAACACACATGGTAAGGAACACACATGGTAAGGAACACACATGGTAAGGAACACACATGGTAAGGAACACACATGGTAAGGAACACACATGGTAAGGAACACACATGGTAAGGAACACACATGGTAAGGAACACACATGGTAAGGAACACACATGGTAAGGAACACACATGGTAAGGAACACACATGGTAAGGAACACACATGGTAAGGAACACACATGGTAAGGAACACACATGGTAAGGAACACACATGGTAAGGAACACACATGGTAAGGAACACACATGGTAAGGAACACACATGGTAAGGAACACACATGGTAAGGAACACACATGGTAAGGAACACACATGGTAAGGAACACACATGGTAAGGAACACACATGGTAAGGAACACACATGGTAAGGAACACACATGGTAAGGAACACACATGGTAAGGAACACACATGGTAAGGAACACACATGGTAAGGAACACACATGGTAAGGAACACACATGGTAAGGAACACACATGGTAAGGAACACACATGGTAAGGAACACACATGGTAAGGAACACACATGGTAAGGAACACACATGGTAAGGAACACACATGGTAAGGAACACACATGGTAAGGAACACACATGGTAAGGAACACACATGGTAAGGAACACACATGGTAAGGAACACACATGGTAAGGAACACACATGGTAAGGAACACACATGGTAAGGAACACACATGGTAAGGAACACACATGGTAAGGAACACACATGGTAAGGAACACACATGGTAAGGAACACACATGGTAAGGAACACACATGGTAAGGAACACACATGGTAAGGAACACACATGGTAAGGAACACACATGGTAAGGAACACACATGGTAAGGAACACACATGGTAAGGAACACACATGGTAAGGAACACACATGGTAAGGAACACACATGGTAAGGAACACACATGGTAAGGAACACACATGGTAAGGAACACACATGGTAAGGAACACACATGGTAAGGAACACACATGGTAAGGAACACACATGGTAAGGAACACACATGGTAAGGAACACACATGGTAAGGAACACACATGGTAAGGAACACACATGGTAAGGAACACACATGGTAAGGAACACACATGGTAAGGAACACACATGGTAAGGAACACACATGGTAAGGAACACACATGGTAAGGAACACACATGGTAAGGAACACACATGGTAAGGAACACACATGGTAAGGAACACACATGGTAAGGAACACACATGGTAAGGAACACACATGGTAAGGAACACACATGGTAAGGAACACACATGGTAAGGAACACACATGGTAAGGAACACACATGGTAAGGAACACACATGGTAAGGAACACACATGGTAAGGAACACACATGGTAAGGAACACACATGGTAAGGAACACACATGGTAAGGAACACACATGGTAAGGAACACACATGGTAAGGAACACACATGGTAAGGAACACACATGGTAAGGAACACACATGGTAAGGAACACACATGGTAAGGAACACACATGGTAAGGAACACACATGGTAAGGAACACACATGGTAAGGAACACACATGGTAAGGAACACACATGGTAAGGAACACACATGGTAAGGAACACACATGGTAAGGAACACACATGGTAAGGAACACACATGGTAAGGAACACACATGGTAAGGAACACACATGGTAAGGAACACACATGGTAAGGAACACACATGGTAAGGAACACACATGGTAAGGAACACACATGGTAAGGAACACACATGGTAAGGAACACACATGGTAAGGAACACACATGGTAAGGAACACACATGGTAAGGAACACACATGGTAAGGAACACACATGGTAAGGAACACACATGGTAAGGAACACACATGGTAAGGAACACACATGGTAAGGAACACACATGGTAAGGAACACACATGGTAAGGAACACACATGGTAAGGAACACACATGGTAAGGAACACACATGGTAAGGAACACACATGGTAAGGAACACACATGGTAAGGAACACACATGGTAAGGAACACACATGGTAAGGAACACACATGGTAAGGAACACACATGGTAAGGAACACACATGGTAAGGAACACACATGGTAAGGAACACACATGGTAAGGAACACACATGGTAAGGAACACACATGGTAAGGAACACACATGGTAAGGAACACACATGGTAAGGAACACACATGGTAAGGAACACACATGGTAAGGAACACACATGGTAAGGAACACACATGGTAAGGAACACACATGGTAAGGAACACACATGGTAAGGAACACACATGGTAAGGAACACACATGGTAAGGAACACACATGGTAAGGAACACACATGGTAAGGAACACACATGGTAAGGAACACACATGGTAAGGAACACACATGGTAAGGAACACACATGGTAAGGAACACACATGGTAAGGAACACACATGGTAAGGAACACACATGGTAAGGAACACACATGGTAAGGAACACACATGGTAAGGAACACACATGGTAAGGAACACACATGGTAAGGAACACACATGGTAAGGAACACACATGGTAAGGAACACACATGGTAAGGAACACACATGGTAAGGAACACACATGGTAAGGAACACACATGGTAAGGAACACACATGGTAAGGAACACACATGGTAAGGAACACACATGGTAAGGAACACACATGGTAAGGAACACACATGGTAAGGAACACACATGGTAAGGAACACACATGGTAAGGAACACACATGGTAAGGAACACACATGGTAAGGAACACACATGGTAAGGAACACACATGGTAAGGAACACACATGGTAAGGAACACACATGGTAAGGAACACACATGGTAAGGAACAGACACGGTAAGGAACACACATGGCAAGGAACACACATGGCAAGGAACACACATGGTAAGGAACACACATGGTAAGGAACACACATGGTAAGGAACACACATGGTAAGGAACACACATGGTAAGGAACACACATGGTAAGGAACACACATGGTAAGGAACACACATGGTAAGGAACACACATGGTAAGGAACACACATGGTAAGGAACACACATGGTAAGGAACACACATGGTAAGGAACACACATGGTAAGGAACACACATGGTAAGGAACACACATGGTAAGGAACACACATGGTAAGGAACACACATGGTAAGGAACACACATGGTAAGGAACACACATGGTAAGGAACACACATGGTAAGGAACACACATGGTAAGGAACACACATGGTAAGGAACACACATGGTAAGGAACACACATGGTAAGGAACACACATGGTAAGGAACACACATGGTAAGGAACACACATGGTAAGGAACACACATGGTAAGGAACACACATGGTAAGGAACACACATGGTAAGGAACACACATGGTAAGAGCACACATGGTAAGGAACACACATGGTAAGGAACACACATGGTAAGGAACACACATGGTAAGGAACACACATGGTAAGGAACACACATGGTAAGGAACACACATGGTAAGGAACACACATGGTAAGGAACACACATGGTAAGGAACACACATGGTAAGGAACACACATGGTAAGGAACACACATGGTAAGGAACACACATGGTAAGGAACACACATGGTAAGGAACACACATGGTAAGGAACACACATGGTAAGGAACACACATGGTAAGGAACACACATGGTAAGGAACACACATGGTAAGGAACACACATGGTAAGGAACACACATGGTAAGGAACACACATGGTAAGGAACACACATGGTAAGGAACACACATGGTAAGGAACACACATGGTAAGGAACACACATGGTAAGGAACACACATGGTAAGGAACACACATGGTAAGGAACACACATGGTAAGGAACACACATGGTAAGGAACACACATGGTAAGGAACACACATGGTAAGGAACACACATGGTAAGGAACACACATGGTAAGGAACACACATGGTAAGGAACACACATGGTAAGGAACACACATGGTAAGGAACACACATGGTAAGGAACACACATGGTAAGAGCACACATGGTAAGGAACACACATGGTAAGGAACACACATGGTAAGGAACACACATGGTAAGGAACACACATGGTAAGGAACACACATGGTAAGGAACACACATGGTAAGGAACACACATGGTAAGGAACACGCACGCCATTTGAAGTATGAGACGCATAGGCATCATTAGCCGACGCATGGCCTTTTCCACATCATCACTTACACATGCTAATGAACCACTCATGCTAATGAACCACTCATGCTATTCGCTCAGCAATCACAAAGAAATCACTCAACGTTCACTCAGCAATCTAGGATCACGGATAGATGCACCCTTGTTAGCAAATCCAACGCCCTGCTACTCTACTGACCAAACACTCGACAGAAGAAGACCTTCCGAGAGATTCATGTAAGGCATCGTAAGAGAAGCAGCATTCTAATGCTCCATCCGTGCGATTCTGCATGACTCTCCACTCTCCCCCTTTGCTCTCCTCCCTTCGCTTCCCCTACATCCAATGCTGCCAACCAAGCAAAACACACCCCGCAGTCCAGCCACAAAAGGCTTGTGGCTCCAGTCCAGCCACACGAGCTTGTAGCTAGAGCCAGTGTGCTCGATGCCATCGCTCTTGCCATGCCACCCGTGCAGCAAGCAGCACAGCGGAGAAGATCAGAGAAGCAGAGGGGAAGGGCGCAGAGAACGGAAGGAGAGAGAAAGAGAGCGGGTCCCACCCCACCCCACCCCACCCCACCCCACCCCACCCCACCCCACCCCATGCGTTGTGGCTCACGAGCTTGTCGCTCCAGCCGAGGATGAGCGTGTGGTTGTGCTCGATGACGTCGCTCTTGCCCTTGCGCAGCGAGTCCACCTTCTCCGAGATGCCCTCGGACACGAGCCCCACCATGAGCGCAAACACCAGCATGCCGCCGATGCTCACACACACTGCCACCACGCGCGGCCCCACCCCCTCGCTGTCCGCGTGGTTACCAGCATCTGCCACGTACGTCCAGGCCCGCCACGTGGCGTCTGCCAGAACAAGACGCTCCTTGCCACTCACTGCGTACAGGGCCAGGCCGCCCACCGCGATGCTGCACGGGGCGGGGTCGGGCGGCGGGATTGGGCGGCGTGACGGGTGGGCGGAAGAAAGGGAGACGAGGGGAGTTGGAAGGGATGAGTTAAGGGGGCTGCGGAGGAGGCAGAGGGGGAGATCTGGAGCCACGAGATGGGCTGAATGCAATGCATGGCATGATTGGCACGCCGCATGGACAGCGGGACAGAGAGCTGAGAGCAGGAGAGGCGGATAGAGGCGAGGTGACTGACAGCAGGAGAGTGGCAGTGAGCAGCGCGAGGCTCTTGACGTAGGAGTGGGTGGAGAAGAGCACATCCACTCGGTACGCCACCCGCTTGCTCAATGGCGCTGCTGCCACCTCCTCCCCCTGCCCATGCGCCCCCTGCCCATGGGCCCCCGGAGCCCCATGTCCATGCACCCCCGGCCCCCCGCCTTGCCGGATGCCATGGGCTAGGCCTGGGCTGCTCACACCGCTTCCCGCTGCCCCTTGCACAGCCGCCAGTGCCGCTCCGCCTCTCCTGTGCTGCTGTGCTGCGGTGTGGTGCGGTGACAAGTGGCTCAGTGCGGGGGTGATGGGTGTTTGGTCGATTTTGGGGGGGTCGAGGTGGAGGAAGGCAGCGACCCGGTCCATGTGCTTCGCCAGCACAAGGGGGAGCAGGAAGCAGAGCAGCGACGTGAATAGAGCCAAACGCCGCCACACCACATCGTCACCCTCCTCCGTATCGCCTCTACAACCTTCCCCTTCCTCCTCCTCCACCTCTCTCTCCTCTCCCTCCCCTCGCTCCCTTCCCCTGCTGCTGTCTCCCACCCTCGCACGCCTTCCATGTCTTTCCTTCTCCTCCTCTCCTACCACCTTTCTTTCTTCGCCTCTGATTGGCTGCAGCAAGATGCCAGCTGTCGTCGCCCGCCCGCCGGTGGGCAGCATGGCCATATCCGCCCACCACGCCGCCCCACTCTCAAGCCCTGCAGCACCGCTGCCGCTGCCGCTGACACTGGTGCTGCTGCCAATGCTGCTGCCGGCACTGCCCCCCCAGGCACCGGATTGCATGCGCTGTGTGATGCGCTGCTGCCTCTCTATCAGCACTCGCAGGTGGAACTGGGTGGGTGTTGGGGGGGGGGGGGGGGGGGGGGGGGGGGGGGTGGTGGGGTGGGGTGGGGTTGGTAGAGGAGAGAGTGGTGGGTGGTGAGGGGTGAGGAGTGGTGATGCGGTGCTGCCTCTCAATGAGCACTCGCAGGTGGAAGTGGAGAGCATGCGGGAGAAAAGACAGAGAGGTCACCTGTAGGGCATCAGCCCGCGAGCGCTCGTGGATGCACCAGGCGAAGAGAGCCAAGGCAGCCATGATGGCCTGTGTACACATGCACAGCACAGCACCGCACAGCACAGCACAGCACAGCACAGCACAGCACAGCACCGCACCGCACAGCACCGCACAGCACAGCACAGCACCGCACAGCACAGCACAGCACAGCACAGCACAGCACCGCACAGCACAGCACCGCACAGCACCGCACCGCACAGCACAGCACAGCACAGCACCGCACAGCACAGCACCGCACAGCACCGCACAGCACAGCACAGCACAGCACAGCACAGCACAGCACAGCACAGTACAGCACAGCACAGCACAGCACACACACATGGGAGCGCACAGCACACATATGGGAGCACACAACACACACATGGGAGCGCAGATAGGCAGGGGCGGGGCAGTACGATGAGATGAGGGGGGTTGGGGTGAAAGATAACTGATGGTACTGGGGCGGGCCTGGTAAGGGGAGCGTGTGAGGAGGGATAAGGAGCAGGGATTGGAGGGCTGCTGAAGTGAGCATACAGGAGGCCGCGCACTGAGAAGCACAGGGCACAGAGCACAGAGCAGAGGGCGCAGAGCAGAGGGCACAGAGCAGAGGGCACAGAGCAGAGGGCGCAGAGCAGAGGGCACAGAGCAGAGGGCACAGAGAGGGCACAGAGCAGAGGGCACAGAGCAGAGGGCGCAGAGCAGAGGGCACAGTGCGGGAAGCTTTTGACTTACGAGGATCCAGACAATGGTGAGAGTGCAACGCTGCCAGCATGGCTTGCGGCTGGAGTAGGCATGGAAGGGCGGGTACCCCCCCGGCCCACCAGGCCACCCGGGGAAGGGCCGCTGCTGCTGCCACTCCGACACGCCACCCGCCCCTCCCATCCCTCCCCCCATGCCCATGCCCATACCCATACCCATGCCTCTGTCTGTCCCCATGCCCATGCCTCGCCTCTCTCCTTCCCATTCCCTCTCTCTCCCTCCTCTTCCTCCTCCTCCTCTCCATCCTCCTCTTCCCCTGTCTGCCCCCCTCCCTCCCCACCACCCGCCATCCCATTTACCCTCTGCTGCTCCTCCCCACCACCCGCCATCCCATTTACCCTCGGCTGCTCCTCCCCACCACCCCCCTGATCCTTCTCTTCCCACGGCCCCTTCCCCTCCCCATGCTCCCCCTTCCCCCCATGGTCTTTCCCCACACCCCTCTCCCCCCCATCGCCCTCTTCCCCACTCCCCCTCTTCCCACTCCCCACCTCCCCTTCTTCTCTCCCCCCATCCTCCCCGCCCCCCACTGCTCGCGCGTCCCCCATCCGGCTCTCCCCCACCCACCCACTCTCCCCTTCCCCCTTCCCCAGCGTGCCTTCCCCAACCCCCACCCTGCCCATTCCCTCGCCCATGGTCCCGCCCATTGCTCCGCCCCCCCCAGTCCTCCCCCCCATGCCCATTCAAGTGCCTGTGCGGCCGTCCATCGCCCTGCCCTCCACCCACGCCGTTTGAAGCACCTCCCATATAAGCACCACCAAAGTTGTCAGAGGAACCCCTACAACCACCACCACCACCACCACCACCACCACCGCCGCCGCCGCCGCCGCCGCCGCCGCCGCCACCACCACCACCACCACCACCACCACCGCCACCAGTTGCTGCACCGACAGAAGCGACAGCGGCAGCAGGAGCCTCTGGGCCTAGCCTCCACGCCTCGCCGCCTGCCCCAGAACCACATGCACCTACCCGCGATGAGCCTGTCTGCGGTTCTTGCCTCGTAGCCGTCTTGTCCTGTAGTGCTGCTGACGTGGAGGAAGGGACGGACGAGATCAGCTCCGAAGCTGACATGGATGGGCCGATTCGGGGCCGAGGCATTCCCATCCCACCACCCGCACCTGTTACCGGGCCGGCCTTGGCACCGAAGCTAAACGCCCGGGCAAACGACTTGGCCGAACCTAAGAGGCTGCCTCCCAACCCCATTGCTTGTGATGGGGGGGAGGGGGCACATGGGGGGGATGGCGGGGATGGGGGAGATGCCAAGCTGGCACCAGCATTCGCACTAACACCCGTTTTGATTGGCCGCAGATTTGACGGGGTCGCCAGCTCCAGTTCCCCAGCCAATCGGCTTCCACTGTTTGCGGCGCCTTTCACTGATTGGTCCACAGGTTCCCCTCGGTCTCCATTCCGTGCCCCCCAGTCGCGTCCCTTTTCCGATCCTTTCATCCCCCCCGCCCACTCGCTTTCCCCCACTCCCTCTCCTCTCCGCCCTCCTGCCTTGCCATCCGGCGCCCGCGCCCCGTTAGCCGCCTCTTCCCCCCCTCCAGAGCGCTGCTGCACGCGACCCTCCGCGGAGGACGAGCGCGGAACGGCCCCGCCTCCTTCCAGCGCGCGCCGCAGGCACGCGGAGCAGGGCATCCCCCAGCCGGGGGCGGCATGCGGGCAGGGGGCAGCTGCCACCGCGGCGGCGGAAGGCTCGGCGCGGGTTCGCGCGGGCAACCGCTCATCATCTCCGCGCGAGGAGAAGGAATGCGAGGCGGAAAGGAGCGGTGCGGCAGTGGCAGTCGCGGAGCGGGCGTTGGCGGAAGCGGATTTTCCTACCGCAGGCACCGCGGTGGCTGCGCCGTTGGCGGAAGCGCCGGGTGTGCCAGTAACGAGCGGCGGCGACGAGGACGCGTTAGAAGAACGGTTCCTACGAAGCGTGGGAACGAGCGGCGTGCGGGAGGAAAAGGAAATATTTCCGCGGTCCGCCGTGGTGCTGTGCTCGGGGACGGACGAATGGAATAAGGACCGCGGGTCGGGTGACGTGGCAGCAGAGGACGACGCCCATTGGACCATGAAGCGCATGTCGCGGCCATTCATCGACGTGCTTCGCGACCACAGAATTTGCGGCTTCCCGCCTCCGCCGCCGCCGCCGCCCAAGTCGCGAGGATTGCTGTTGAATCCCGTGTGGTTCTTCAGAAGCTGCTGCAAAGGAGGTTCCACGTCAGGCCCGCCGTCATCCGCGGTCGCGCGAAGGAAGGCGTCTCGTCGCCGCATTGCACGGCACGTATCGAGTTGCGGTGTGAATGACGGCTCTGCGCGCACTAGAGAGAGAAATATACTATTATATCGGGTCTCACACCCGGTCCTCAATGTCGCTCCACATAGCAAGAGGACCGGCATGACCTACGTGGCAGAGAGGGGATTGCATGGTGCTCTCCCCTGTGCTCTGACCGGCTAGCGACAAGGGCGAACGAAAGTACTCCACGCCCGAGTCGAAGTCCTCCAATCCACTAATACTCAGTACCTAGGGTTTTTTTTCCATGCTCGTCACAAGCAGGTCTGTGACTCTGTGTAGCTCTAAGTTATTCCCAGACAAGCTTTCTCTGTTGTTAAAGTGCTGTACTCTGTCTTAGCCTGTGAAGAAAGCAGGTAACGTTGCGGTAACTTCACCAGCTCGTCGTGAGCTCTTCGGACCATTTACTTCAACATGACTGATGTGATATACCGTACGATTGATCCTGCCCTGCCCAGTACTGAACGCCATGTTTCTGCGCACATGTCAGGATGCATTGACTTCGACTCCAATGCCATATTCATTAAACCTAGCCACTTCCCAAAGAGCACGGCATACACAATACAAAGGAGTGCGCACTGAGCTGTTGCACACACACATCCGGTCCCACACTCCCAACCAATGGCCGCTCAGCCCCTGCCTCTCCCTCCTGGCCCTGAAAAGGAAAAAAAGAATTATCAGAGAGTGATTGGTGAAAATATGCCGGCATGCATGCTTGTCAACCATGAAGGCATCGGAGGCAGTCATAGCAACAATCAGGTAAAAGTTAGAATGACATGACATTGAGATGTTTCAAGAAAGGGACAAGAATACATTTCCTCACCCTACAAAACCGTACCCACCTCCTCCTCTTCCACCTCTTCCTCCTCTCCCTCCTCCTCGCCCCCCATCGTCCCACCCTCTTCCCCGCCCTCCTCTCCCTCCTCCCCCCTCGTCCATGCGCCCTCTGCCTCCTCTCCCCCTGCCCTGCTGTATCGGCCTGCGATCTGGGAGGAAGGGAGGGAAGAGTGGGAGGAGGGGAAGGGAGTGCAAGAGTAAGGGGGAAAGGGGGGTTGAAATGAGGTTCGTGGGGCGGAATTTGAAGTTCTGAGAAGTTCTTCCCCTTCCCTCCACGTCCACACGCCCTCTGCCTCCTCTCCCCCTGCCCTGCTGTACCGGCTCACAATCTGACGGGAGAGTCAGAGGAGGGCAGACAGGTTAGTAGGGCAAAACAAGGCATGCATCCCTGCCCTGCTGTATCGGCCCGCGATCTGAAGAAAGTCAGGGTACCAGGAGGTGAAAGGGGTACAGAAAGAGGCGGTACGGAAAGAGGGGGCCAGAGGGAGAGAGGGGGGGAGGGTACGGAGAGGGGGGGTAGGGAGCGAGGGGAGTAGGGAGCAAGGGGGGTAGGGAGAAAGGGGTTCACAGATAGAAGGGGGAAGGGAGAGGGTGGGCAGGGAGCGAAGGGGGTAGGGAGAGAGGGGGTGCGGAAACGAGGGGGGCATGGAATGGAGGTGAGGGGGCAAGCATGGCATGACAGCATGGCATGACAGCATGGCATGACAGCATGGCATGACAGCATGGCATGACAGCATGCCATGAAAAGAAATGTGCAGTTAACGTAATGTGGCAAGGCATGGAGTAATTTACCTTGTCTTCTGATGACCTCCTCTTGTACTTTGTCGATCACCTGGGGTGCACACAATACACAATGCACACGGAGGGATGTAGAGGACAGCACACATAAAAGCACATGACGCTTGAGTCGACTAACTAATTTTTTTGGACTTTGGAACTTTGTCAAAAAACGCACACAATGAACATGGATCGAGTGGCGCACACAAGAAAAGAAAGGAGGTTCGAGTCGACTCAAATCTAGAAACGCACACAATGAACGAACATGGATATGTGTGGAACAAGTGGATCAGACAGACAGCACAGATCATTCTACAAGGTGCGTCTCGAGGCAGCTACGGGTGGTGAATCATCTCAACTCTGCAGCTGACAACACACAATCCCTTAACGCTCACAGCACACACCACGTGAGAAGCAGCTTCCGTCCTCGCACGTGCAGAAAAAGACACAGGGAACCACCACCCTCTTCCCTTCTTCCCCAGCCCCACCCGGCCACCCACCCACCTCATCGGGCACGCGCAGATACTTGATGGTGTTGCCGCGCACGTAGCACTGCGGCATGCGCCAGAAACGGTCCCCGTCCTTGGACGTGCAGATGACCTCGCGCAGATGGATGTTCATCCACGTGTCACAGCTCACCAGATGCCCGTTGTACGTCTCGCCATTCTTCAGCTCTACTAGCTGAAGTGGACAGGAGCAAGGAGTGAAGAGGAGTGAAGAGGAGTGAAGGGTTAAGAGGGTTGGATGGGGGAGGGTGGAAAGGGAAAGAGAACGGGGACGTGCAGATGACCTCTTTCAGGTGGATGTTACATCCAAGTGTCAACAGAGTGCGAGTTTTAGTTATCGGGGGTTGGAATCGCATCAACGAGACTGAGAGTCGAAATCCGTGGAGATTTCCGCGTTTCTACATCGAGTTTCTACATAACAATTGGCCCTGTTCGCCAGCGCTTTTAACAGCAAAATGGGCGGAATCAGGAAGGTCAGTCACGGCTTCCTGATCCCGTCCGTTAGGGTCCGTTAGGCTGGTCAGCCCCCAGAATTCCTGCCGAGCCTACGATTTCGTCCGAACCAAACGGAATCAGATATGCGTGTCGAGCGCACACCATTTCAGACGGAATCAAGCTCGTTGGAAACAGCCCTGCGCATTCGCGTCCTGCCAAGGGTTGCGCCCAAGCCGATTCCGAAATCGGCTTGGGTAGACTCACATATTTCACAAAGTGGGGGAGTGGGGAGGCACGAGTGGACTCACATATTTCACAAAGCACTCACAAACAAGAACTTAGGAACTCCAGTAACTACGTAGTCAAACGGAAATTACTTTGAGACTGCGTAAGCTACGTACCATGGGATGGCCTTGCGCCGTTTTGAGCAGCGACAACGGCAACTGGGGGGAAAAGGAATCGCGAGCACAAGAAGCGGGGAAAACGGAGACGAAAGGAGACGAAAGGATAAGAGCGGAGACGAGCGGCGTTAGGGACGAAAGTAGTATAAGCTTAAAGAGGGAAAGCGCGAACGGCGGAAGCGTTTATACCATCAGAAAATTGTAGATCTGCCGGAAACTGGTGGACGAAGACTTTAGCGGGGGTAAACTGGCGGGTATGGTAGGCAGTGGCTGTTTTCGGCGGTGTTGTGAGATCTCGGTAGAAGTGTGGACAGGGTCACTATTTTGCTCCTACTGTGCCCGGAACTGGCCGAACCGCGGAACTGGCACTACTACTGGGCACTAATTTGCTCTTGTCGAAATCGTCAGTAAACCGCCAGTACTGTGGACGGGGTCACCATTTTGCTCGGTAACACGTGGTCCAGGAAGGCGTGTCATGCAGAATGATTTTGGGGTTCTGACAGGTTTTTTTACGAAAGCTGTAATACCACATGTAACACGTATTAAAAAAGCTTGAGAGCAGGTTTTAAAACAGCAGTATACATTTGACACTACTGTTTGTTTTCTACAGTGTGCAAAGGCGATTTCGCCTCAACGAGAAAAAAAAATCACACACACACACACACACACACAGACACACACACATTTGCGAGAGTGTTGGCGAAAAGCTGAAGCCTACTGTTGTGAAGGAGCGAGGACTGGGAAGGTTGTGAGTCACAAAATGGGATCTTCTCCCGTCACCAAACTCACCTTGCCACACTCACAGTTGGGAGAACAAGAGACTAATAGCTGGGAGGATAGGTAGAACGAACCAAGGAGTGGCGACACGGCGAGTGCTAGTGACGCTTCGCGTTCGCCCAACCAGGCCCCACGTTATCAGGGCAAAACATCCTGATTACCCTGAATTCAGGATGCAGTTTTGAATTTGCCCTGTAATTTCAGAATAGCGTCAATTTTAACCCTGTGGTAACATGATGTTATATGAAATGCCCTGGACATTCAGGATGGTTGTGGTGTTCTTCCCTGAAGCGTCAGGATGAATGACGAGACTTGCCCTGACGCGTTTTTAGAGGGGGGCGGGGGGGGGGGGGAGGGGGGGGAGGGGGGGTGTTCTTGTTCCCGGGAATTTTTTTCCCCGTGGATTTTTTCTCCCCGTGTCTTTTTCTAGCCTTTGACAATTCCGAATCCGATCCCCTGCAACAGGGCCCACGATATCAGGGCAAAACATCCTGATTACCCTGATTTCAGGATGGTGTTTCAAGTTTTCCCTGGAATTTCAGAGTGGTGCTGAAATTTACCTTGGGACGTCAGGATGATTCATGTGTTTTGCCCTGAAATTTCAGAATGGCAGTGAAATTTTGCCCTGAAGTGTTAGGGTGAATGTAGGGGGATGCCCTGACTTGTGGGAAGGGGAGAAGGGGTGGAGGGGGGAGGGGGGGAGAGGGGAGGAAGGAGGCTAGGGGGTGTGTGTGCTAGTTTTGCCCCCACCCCTCCCCCACCAATGTTTTTGCTCCTTTCGTGCCTTCCCCTCCATCCACTCTAGTGTCTTGTATTTTTAGCCCTGAAACATCCAGATGAATTTCTGCTGGTGCCTTGAAACTTCAGGATGGCCAGGGAATTCTGCCCTGAGAAATCAGGGCATTTCGAAAAGTTTTCAAAAGTTACCCTGAGGGCTCAGGGTGCCCTAAATCCTAGCACAGGCCCTGCCCTGCAATGCACCAGCCAAACCCAACGCACAATTCCTTTGACAGTTCCGATCGTCTCCTTGTGTGCCATGCATGCACCCCTCCAGTGTTTCTGTTAGAGTAGCAGTGGTGTTCTCTGGTCTAGTCTGGTGGTGTTCTCTACCCTGGATTAGTTACCGGTAACAAGATATGACAATGCTCGTGCCACTAGATACGTTAAAAACAGAACCCTGAACACTCGTATTTTTGCCCTGACAGGCCAGGATAGACTTCTGCAGAAGCCCTGAAACTACAGGGAGCCTCTGAAAATTTGCCCTGACAAATCAGGGCATTTTTTAAGATTCTGGAAAGTTGCCCTGAGGCCTCAGGATGCCCCAAAACCTAGCACGGGCCATGCGCCCAACCGCAATCCCGGCTTCGCGTGTATACGTAGACGCGCTCGCGCCCAGATGCATTCGCGCCGTCGCTGCCGCGCCGCCGCTTTGATGCCGCATTCCCCCTGTCACAAGCCCCCTTCGACATTCCCTTGCCGCATTCCCCCCCTCCGCATTCCGTCACCAAACTACGAAGCTACGCTCACACACTTGGCGAGGCGAATCAACGACTATTTACTAGAAATTTCCGTGGTATAGGTAACCAAGTTGGCCTGGCTATACCAACAGCGCAACTTCTCACCTAGTCGCGTGAGAGTAGCTACACATGTACGCAAAGCCTTGAAAACGTGTGTAACGTGGCGAAGCAGTGGTGTCCCTTGTCAGCTTCGCGGTGTTCCTTGAACAGTGGCAGGGTCAGCTTCTCGTAGAAGATGCAGTCACGTGATTCCGTTACTTCGTGTGTCGCGTAGTCCTGCACGATCCACATTTTGTATTCCTTTTCGATTCGGAGGTGAATGCCCAAGCGTGCCCGATCAGCAAATTTTCCGGTCCTCGCCGTGTATGGCCTGTACTGTACCATGCAGCGAAACACACGAAGGAGACGCGTGTCAGTTTTTCTGCCCGTCCAAGCCTTGTAAAGGGAGTTGTTGTTCTCAAGGCTTCGGGAGGACAGCAAGTTGTGTAGCCGGACAACGTGATTTATCGCAAATGGCCAAAACCTTGTTGGGATGGCTGACTGCTTCATCAGGGCCCTCATTCTGGTGGTGAGGCTCCGGTTTGTCCGTTCTGCTACTCCTTGCTGCTCGTGAGCGTAGGGCAGGGACACCAGGTGCTCAATCCCCTTCTTGGTGAAGAATTCCTTAAACTCAGCTGAGAAGAACTCTAGACCTCCGTCTAACTGAAAGGTTTTCAGCTTCAGTCCCGATTGATGCTCTGCGCGCTTCATCCAGGCTATGAAGCATTCGAAGGCAAGAGCGCGACAGTCGGTGTTGACAGCCCAGATGTATCGCGTGCTTGCGTCGATGAAGGTCAGCGTGTATAGCTCGTCGTCAAGCCCTTCTTGGCTAAGAACCATGAAGTCGCTGTAAACCTTTTCGAGCGGCTCGTTGCGTTCTTAGCCGGGGGGTAAGTCGAGGAAGGGCTTGTGAGCGAGTGATGCAGCGGGACAAACGAGGCATGGTGGGTCGTCTGAAGATGCCGTGAGAGTGCCACCTCTGGAAAGAAGTAGCGCTTCCGAGTTGAAGACTCCAGCAGCGATGGAATTCTTGAGTGTGGCGTGTGAGGGGTGTTCGAGGCGTTGATGCCAGATTTCTGGTTCCGCGGGTTAGCCGACAGTTTTCTGTTAATATCTATTTTTTGCTGCTTCATCCCTCTGCTCCGTGTCAGGTCCCTTGTCGGTGTCGGCTTCCACGTCAGTCGCGAATGCTCGGGCGGAGGAGCGTTCCAAAGCTTCGCCGGGAATTCCAGCGATGTCATCCGTGTCAGCATTGTGGACTGGTTCGCTAGTGACAAATAGTGGGCGCGGGAGTCCGGCCGCCTCGGGCCATTCGGAGGCCGGAAGTCCCTCCATCGGAACGCGATGATAGAGGTATTCGTCGCCAGCGACAGAAATTAATTGAGGTCCTTGTTCCGGTGGCGGCGCTTCCTCTGTAGGTTCAGGTAATTCTGCTGCTCCCGCGAATTCGTAAGTCATTTCTTCTAACTCTTCCTGTGCTGCTTCTGGTGTGTCAGGGGCGTACTGGTCCACCCCAGCTTGTGACGCGCATTGCCCAATATGGATCCATTTCCGCCACGGGTGCAGGTGGAAGAGCTGGTGCCTCGGGGTAAGGAGACCATCTCCGCTCACTTGAAGTCGAGGCCCCTCAGCCACCTCCAGGGGCAGTTGCTTCTTCTAGTGTTTCGGTGACTCCCCATGCGCCAACCGTGGGGCTAGGATTAGTCCAGCTGGGCGAGGCCGGTGCTGTTGCTTTCCATCCTCCGGTGGCAGGTGTTGGCTCCGTGCTAACCTCCTCTTGTTCCAATATTGCAAGTCCAGTATCGTTGGGAGTTGAAGTCGAAGCAGTTGGGACGACACGCATGCGAAGGAGTCCATCTGAGGCGGGTCGTTCAAGATCCATCTCCTCAGAGTGCGACCAGGTTGGTGGCTCTGCTGGAGTTGTTTTCAACAGAAGGGTTCGTTAAGAGTCGCCGGTGGTGCCCTCCGCTGAGAAGTTCAGGACGAACACTCTGTCGTTGTCGACAGCCTTTCCGATGTAAGTGCTTTTATAAAACAACTCGAAGGTTTTATCTTCGCAGTTGCTGCGGATGTCGACTTCACACCTCATGAGTTGTGCCGAAGAAAGCAAGTTGTACTTCAGGTCGGGAACAATGTGGATGGTGAAGCAGGTGTCATCAGCTTCAAGGCAAATCTCTCCAATGCCATATGCCTTCAGTCGGTTGTTGTTGGCGACAGTCATTTCGCACAGTCGTCGCATGCGCCTTGAGTTGCTAATGAAAGTTGGTGATCCCACCATGTGTTGCTAGCAGCAGCTATTAAGATACCAGGTGTTGACGCTCTCGCGGTTTTGACGCGCGATGCCGGCGATCTTTGGAGTGACGATGCGGTCGAAGTCTTCGGTGTACTGCGAGAGGTCGATGTATCTCCTTGCGGGAAGACTGGGAGGGGACTCCGGAGTGCTTGGAGGCAACTCGAAGTCAGGTGGGATGGTGGTTGGGGTATCGGACCATAGACTGAGGGTGGGATCATTGTTCGGGCTTGGCGTGATGGGAGGAATGGGCGCGATTGTTGTGTATTCAACGTTGTCGTAGTACCGAATTCCTCTGCGACGGTGCGCCATGCAACTCAAAACAGTGGGCGCTGCGGGCTGCTGACCAAATGAGTTGTTGCGCCTTTCGTCAGCGGCTTTACGCTTGTAGCATCGGTCTATGGTGTGACCGGGTTTCTTGCAGTATTTGCAGAAGTTTCCCTTCTTCTCATGCTGCTCCCCTTCATTTTCTCCAGTGAAGAACACTAATTTCTCCCGCTTGGTGTTCTTCTCATTGTACAGGTCAGTCTCCTTTTGCTCGGAGAGAAGTGTGGCGCATAGGGCGGATTCGGAAATGGTTGCTCGAGCGCAGAGCAATGATTGGCACTAGCGCCAATCGGGTTCAAGGCTGGAAAGGACCATTGAGACGAACATGTCGTCGGGGATGGTTCCGCCGCACTTCTTGATGTGGTCGCGCAGATTGCGGCACCTATTGATATAGGGCCCCGCCTTTTCTCCTTGTTGCATCTTGGCTGATGTGAGTTGACTGAGCAGGCGACTCATGGTAACTGGGTCTGTTGCCATGTACGAATTGCGCAGATGTTCCCAAAATGATTGGGCAGGAGCACACACCGATTTGTACGAGCGGATGCCAAGCCGCTCGGTGGGAGAAAGGTTTCGGAGGAGAGCGGTGTACGCGAGTGATTTGTGTAATACTGGTGCTTCTTCTAGATGGTTCCTTCTTGTGGGAAGGGGAAGCTCCCGTCGTAGTACATTCAGATCTGCGCGGTTATTGCGAGGAGCTTGAATTCGAAGCTCCACGTGTAGAAATATTTTCCGTCAAACGGCGTTGAAGTCTTCAGCTTTGATGTCAACACGAATTTTGTTTGCATCGTTGCAATCGTTTCTCACTGTGCACGTTGTTGATTGTCTTGTGCAGGAGCCGAAGCTTGACGGTTGTCAAAGGTGAATGACCTCTCGGAGTTGGCGCGACGGTCTTCTTCAGGGAGAGGAAGTCCAGCAACACCTCTTGCATAGCTTGAGCCGTCAATGCTCATGGCTTGATGGCTCTCAAGAGCGTTGATGCGAGCAACGAGTTGCTCAACGAGAGCGGCGCTGACGGAGGTCACCGCCGAGGGCGCATTAGTTGTTGCTGGTGGTGGGCCCGGAGAGTCTTCAATGGTTTTCCCTTCAGGGGCCATATTGATGCAGGCTTAGTTTATGTAATGAGTAATCTATAAGGAGTTTTTCTAGGAAGAACAAGAACTTTGGCAGACCTTATAGTCCACTCTAGCTCTCATACCATGTTGATATAATTGAAGGATCGAAGTGGACAGGATAAGGTTGCTTAGTCTGGAGAAGACAATGAAGTCTTTGTAGTGACCTTGTCAATAATAAATGGAGAAGAACAAGATGATTAAGATAGAGTTACAAGGGGTTTATATAGCAAATCTAGCTAGCCATGTACTCTGAGGGGTACATTCTCTTATCAACTGTATTCCATAACTACAGTAACTGCGACTGTTGCTATACTCGACAATTACCGCGTTGCATCGCGTAACCTCCAATACATTTGTTTGTCAGTCAACAGTCCCGACTGTTGACTTACAACGACTGTTGACCTTCGGGTAACTCCTTCGAGCTGTCACGTGCTCTATGCGAGCATATCGCGATATTGGTACAGTGACAACTGCTTCGCTGTGGAGTGGTGCGCTAGGAGAGTACCTTCAGGAATATAAAACCGTATCGCCCCGGATATTAGCGCATGTGCGCTTATAACAAAATCATTTTTTTTAGGGGGGGCGCTTGTAATTGAGTGTAGGGCATAAGCGCATGCGCGTATAAAAAGGAAATAAAGGAAATTGCTGCTAGGGGTACCAAATTGAAGCCCTTTCAAAGGCGAATACGATCGTGACACATTCACGTGGGGCCGTGTATGAAATCAAGGGGAAAACAACAGCGACTTGATTTCCCACCGCACAAAACCCGTCTTGAAGCAACGCATCTGCCAACGCTGACTTAGAAGCTGACGTGCGGCCCAATCAGGAACCGATTCGATGCCAGACAGGAGCATCTCAATCGATCCATCTAGAAGATGGTCGAAGATGCCCTGCCAGCGCTGCATGTGACGGGTCGCGAACCCTCCTCTACGGGTTTAGGTAGGGGGGTACCTGTCTTTCATTGACGAGGACCCCGAGTCGCTAGCCCGAAGAGGTCCCCTCAGAACTTCATTTCTGTTCCCATTCTTGCACTTTCACAATCATTTTCTCATGTCTCGTCCGCCAAGCTGCGAAAGCCATGGCGGAATTTACCGGCACGCATTTTCTTTTCAAGAAGCCGCCATCTCCTCCAGCGCCCCCCGCGCCGCCAGCTCCTCCTGCTCCTCCGAATCCGCCCGTGTATGCAGGCCCATCGAATCCTCCCGTGCTCACGCTCCGGCACCCGTCGGCGTTCGATGGGTACCTGTCGGAACCTGATAGCAACAAGCCCCCCAGCGTCTACGTTCCAGCTCTGGCCCCGGCACCATGATGGGGCCAGCCGCAAGATTGCGCGTGGGACGAGTCTGATGTGGGCGCTGATGACGATGTGGCCGACACTGAGACTGGCACCGACACTGGTGCCGAGGTTGGCACCGCGACAAAGGTGTTTCCTGATGGTGCCCCGAATGACAACGAGGATGACGGTGTGGAATATTGGTCGCGCGATGGACTTCCCGAGAAACTACCTATTCCAACGTTTCCGCCTGTTAACCGCAAGCGTCCCCACCCCTCTTCCGAGAACCGTGATGCCCGCCCCCCCTCTCCCAGGCACACGCCCTCGCAGCATAAGCGTAATGCCTATATCGCGCAGGAGAAGCTGAGGGGATCGGGCGCATGGATGTGACGGTGTCGCTGCGAGCGTTGTCTCGCGAGCCGGGGATCCACTGCAAATGTCTCGCAGAGTGGAAGAGAGCCGCCGCCATGCTCAAGGAAGTGCACTCAGCTCGGAAGCGGATGCACAGGCGCGGGAGGTCGTCGTGGTACAGGCCGATGGAGCTGAAAGTCTACGCCATGCTTCTCGACTGGCGCCGCAAAGGAACGGCCGTCTCCGTCGGTCGCCTGCAGGAGTGGTCAAGGGAGTTCATGAAGCTTCTTTTTCCCGACGTAAAGTGGAAGGGGAATCGGCGGTGGTCGGAGCGGTTTCGAAAACGGTGGAATCTGAGCATGCGCATGAAGACGAAGATTGCCCAGAAAACTGCCGCACGTAAGAATGAATCGATATTGTTCCGTGTGCTTGTTGTGGTTTTTCACTTTGACGATTGTGACTAACCCATGCCTATTAACACTATCCTTGTGTGCGCAGATGTTGCGGAGCTGTGCCAGAAGTTCTGGCAGTTCGTTCGTGATATGCGGCGTGAGCGCGGCATCGAAATCCGCTGGATTATGAACGCCGACCAGACGCCGCTGTGGCTGGAGATGCCCGCCACCACTACTATGGACCAGACAGGCGTTTGTTTGGTGCTCATCAGGAGCGCAGGGTTCCAAAAGGAACGCGTGACCGTCATGTTGGCGTGAAGCGCCGACGGGGAGAAGCTCAAGCCGTAGGTCTTCTTCAAGCTCAAGACGATGCCGAATGGTGATTTTCCGCCAGGTAAAAGTACAGCCCCTTTTTGTTGAGTGTGTGGTTTATCCCGTGTTGTATCTAGCACAGATTTGTGTACTGCGTTTGGTGTGGCAGATGTGGTCGTGGCGGTGCACCCTAACGGGTGGATGGACGCTGAGGGCGTCATGTGCTGGCTCGACGAGTGCCTTTCATTCGACCCCGCTTCGGCACGCAGGCGAGGAGCGCCATGGTCGTTCTGGATTCTTACCGCGGGCACCTCACCGATGCCATGAAGGAGAAGTTTGCCGACGTGGACATTGTACCGGCGGTGATCCTCTCGGGCTGTACGGCGGAGGTGCAGCTCCTCGACGTCTCGATCAACAAGTCTTTTAAAGCCTCCATCCACCAGCAGTACCAAACCTGGTTTGAAGAGGAGGGCCAGGAGCGGTTGACGCCTCCAGATAAGACACCCACCGTTGATTCTTTGAGAGCGGCTTGAATTCCCCCCGTATGTTGTTGTAACGACATCTCCATTGCTCTGACTTGTGGTGCAGGGAACATCAAGAAGCCGCCCCCTGCGGTGGTGCTCAGGTGGATCTCACGGGCCTGGAAGGTCGTGCCATCTGAGCTTATCAAGAAGACCTTCCTCACCTATGGCATCAGCAACGCGCTTGACGGCAGTGAGGACAACCTTGCCATGGCGCACAGGCGGAGCCAGCTGACCCACGAGGTCGACGTCGATGACGAGATCATCGCCAACGGATTCTTTGGCAACAACTGCGGGGAGCCAGAGTCAAACGACAAGTAAATTCTAGCGAGGACTGTAAAACTTAATGTGTAGTAAGAATATTGGTAGAGGCATGTGTAGATTTCAGGTTACTGTAGGTATTAATGTTTAGATTAATAAGTAGTGAAAAGATTACCTCCTGGGGGGAAGGGATGTGCTTATAATAAGTAAGTGATTCTAAGGGGTGCGCTTATAAATGAGGACCGACCATAAGCGCATGGCTCCAGATAGAAGCGCCGACGCCTCTAATCGGACGGCGCTACTGTATGGGGCGATACGGTAATAACCTTTCGGTTATTCCAACACGTGATACAGAATTTTCAAGCCTAAAACAACGAATTATAACGAAAATTCCGAGTCTTTTTGTTTCTGATACGAGGTTGGCCTGATATGAGGCCGTAGGAACAGCTCTTAGTGCAATCATCGCTACCTCGATACATTGCATCCGTAGCAGTGGTACAGAATAGTTTTTCTTGGTTCTTTTTGACGAACAATGCATGGATGGATGGCATAATTGTGGAATAAAATGACTATACCTAACTCATCATTGTAGAAAATGTGCTTCGCAGAGACTGTTGAACTTTACAGCTGAAATGGAATCTGGAACTTGGGCTTGGCAGCACATTTCCTCTATGCAATTGGAGTCTAAGATGACGGAGGCCGGTTGACAGATCTCACCAGCAACTCCCTCTGCAAGAGTCTTCACTGCAACCCAGCAAGAGCCTGTCAGTGCAACTTTCAGAACCTAAATCATAGCAACAACTGTGGTTATGCATCCACATAGGAGCCGCTGAACATGCCAGTGGTGCCGACCACTTTGGTCCTCAGCTGCGGCTGTATGAGCGCCTGTGGGTGCTGCAGCTGCTGCCGCGCGTGCTCCAACGCCCACGCCACCTGGTGGGACTCAGTGGTGGTGTTGGAGTCACACAGGGCAGGCATGCGAAAGAGAGACGAGATTGGACTGGAAGAAGCCGGCGATACGCTTCCAATGAGGATGTGTGTGGGTGAGTGCGTGCGTGCGTGCGTGAGTGTGTGCGAGCGTGTGTGGGTGCGTGGGAGCGCGTGTGAGCGTGTGCGTGGGACCGTGGGTGTGGGAGTGTGTGGTGCGTGCGTGGAGCTTACAGTGGGGAAGGCAAGGTGGTGGAAGGGAATGTCGTTCCACTCAAAGAGACCCGCCTCTAGCGTCTCTGATCCTGCACGTGGTGGTGCGGTGACAGGCGATACAGTGGAACAGCGGGGTAAGGCAGGCGTGAGCACAGAATGAATTGGATAGGGGACACGGGGCACACGGTGAGACGAACGCATGGTGAGACGAACGCATGGTGAGACGAACGCATGGTGAGACGAACGCATGGTGAGACGAACGCATGGTGAGACGAACGCATGGTGAGACGAACGCATGGTGAGACGAACGCATGGTGAGACGAACGCATGGTGAGACGAACGCATGGTGAGACGAACGCATGGTGAGACGAACGCATGGTGAGACGAACGCATGGTGAGACGAACGCATGGTGAGACGAACGCATGGTGAGACGAACGCATGGTGAGACGAACGCATGGTGAGACGAACGCATGGTGAGACGAACGCATGGTGAGACGAACGCATGGTGAGACGAACGCATGGTGAGACGAACGCATGGTGAGACGAACGCATGGTGAGACGAACGCATGGTGAGACGAACGCATGGTGAGACGAACGCATGGTGAGACGAACGCATGGTGAGACGAACGCATGGTGAGACGAACGCATGGTGAGACGAACGCATGGTGAGACGAACGCATGGTGAGACGAATGCATGGTGAGACGAACGCATGGTGAGACGAACGCATGGTGAGACGAACGCATGCATGAAAAGGCTGGGAACGAGATAAGTGTGAGCAGCAGGAGTCTTTGTGACTCAAGTATTGGAAACACATTCGACAGATGTGACATGTGACGTTGGCAGAGGGATGCATGTGGCAGGAGGGTGAGAAGGAGAGGGTGAAGGCATAAGACGGCCAGTGGTGGGATACAAGGCATGGTGATTGGATTGGCATGGCAGCAGCAGGCGGGCGTACCAGCAGCGCAGTGTGGTGAGAGGAGGTCAGCGAGGTAGATGAGCTGCACCTGGTGGGCGGCACATGGGCAGCACATGGGCAGGGGGGAATGGATGGGCAGGGAGGACGATGGGCAGGGAGGACGATGGGCAGGGAAAAGGTTACAAAGTGGGTAGAGACAGGGTGAGGGACGTTGGGAGTGGGACTGAATTGGCACAATATGTTCCTGGCAGTCATATGGCCATGTGCTCGAGCATGGACTTAATGTGATATGCAGCGGTGAGGAAAAAAAGAAATTTACACAGCACAAATGGGAAGCTCTCTAAGCAGCAGAAAGTGGGGAGGCACGTAACAGCAGGGAGGGCGTGAGAGTGGGGAGGGCGTGAGAGTGGGGAGGGCGTGATAGTGGGGAGGGCGTGAGAGTGGGGAGGGCGTGATAGTGGGGAGGGCGTGATAGTAAGGAAGGTGTGAGAGTGGAGAGGAAGTGATCACAGGAAGTGATCACAGGAAGTGATCACAGGAAGTGATCACAGGAAGTGATCACAGGAAGTGATCACAGGAAGTGATCACAGGAAGTGATCACAGGGAGCATCTGCAGCTGTTTGGTTTGGAGGAGTGCGCGATAGCATTTGCACACAGGCACTGACATGCAGTGATGCGTGCATGCATCATGAGGAAGCGGCGATTGAGGGGAGTGGCAGCCGGTGCAGCAGCCGGCTAAGCTTGGCTGGGAATGGCTGGGTTCAGCTGACCTGCTTTGCTAACGGTAGATTGAACTGCTGACCTGGTTGGGAATGTTGTAGACGGCCAGCAGGCTTCTCACCCGCACCTCTGCGCATGCTTCCTCTCGCACCTCCCTCTCCGCGCCCTCCCTCGACGACTCCCCCAGCTCCAAGAACCCTGCTCGCACGGCACAATGTGACACGGTGTGGCATGGTGTGGCATGGTGTGGCATGGTGTGGCATGGTGTGGCATGGTGTGGCATGGTGTGGCATGGTGTGGTGTGGCATGATGTGGCATGTTGGTGTGGCATGGTGGGCATGGTGTGAAAGAAGGATGTGACGGATGAAAGGGTTTAATTTGTGCCAAGACAAGCACAGGGAGCAGCCTGTGCTTCCCTTCCCTGCCTGGGCTTCCCTGGGCTTTTCGGGGCATCCATAGGCAACCTTGGGCTTCCCTGGGCTACCCTGGGGTTTACATGCAGGGGCACACTATACAATAACAGGGCATAGGGGCGAGCTTTACTCGTATAGGACGAGCATTTAGATAAGCCCGTCCGAGCTTTAGAAAAAACTTGTAAAAAAGCCCGTCTGAGTTTCGAGCTTAAAAAACGTGTAAAAAAGCCCATCCGGGTTTTAGAAAAACTCGTAAAAAGGCCCGTCCGAGCTTTAAAAGAACTCGTCTGAGTATTGCTCGGCTCGGGGCAAAACTTGCTCGCCTCACCTGTTTGCACAGTGAGCAGCGTACCTTGAGGGAAGCCCCACATGCCTCGTTTGAGTACCTTGAGGGAAGCCCCACATGCCTCGTTTGAGTACCTTGAGGGAAGCCCCACATGCCTCGTTTGAGTACCTTGAGGGAAGCCCCACATGCCTTCACACGGTGGGATGCCCCTTCGACACAGCAGCACCTGCGAGGGCACAGGGGGAGCGGACGGGGGAGAATGGCAAGGATGAGGTCAGAGCGGACGGGGGAGAATGGCAAGGGTGAGGTCAGAGCGCAGAGGAAAGAGAATGGCAAGGGTGAGGTCAGAGCGCAGAGGAAGGAAAGAAGGTAGAAACAAACAGCTTTCTGACGTTTATCTGCCTCCACGACCCTCTTTGCTGGCTACCCCAGCTCCAACCGTCCCATTTCAGCCATGTCTGCCACACACACAGCGCCCCACCTTGTCCTCCCAGAGGCAGAGCGCCCCCACGACCACTTTGGGGTTGGCGTAGTGCACGCGCCCACACTGCTCGCTGCTGCACACATCCCTCGGCTTGTCGTCCCCTGCGCGTGGGATAAGAGGGGGGGAGGGGAGGAAGGGATGGGAGATACGAGGGATGGAATAGGGGGGGGGGGATGGAATGGTGAGGCGCGGCGGGTGCATGGGGCGTTGACGAGGAGGGGAGGGAGGATGGGCGGAAGGAGCACGTGGAGGAGCAGACGGGGCGGTGGTGAGCGGTGCTACGGGGACATCCTCGGGTTGGGATGGGTCAGGCAAGGTGGGGGACGGCGGCAGGGATGCGAGCTGCTGGGTTCTCACCGACGGGTGGGAAAGTGGAGGACAGGGATGGGGACGGGGATGGGGATGGGGATGGGGATGGGGATGGGGATGGGGATGGGGATGGGGATGGGGATGGGGATGGGGATGGGCCGCCGACGACGACGACGACGACGACGACGACGACGACGACGACGATGATGATGATGATGATGATGATGATGATGATGATGATGATGACAGGGAGGTTGACAGCAAGGCACTCACCAGGTGGCACAACGTGATTGGTGGGAGAGCCGCACTGCGAGCAGAATAGAATGCGGTTGCTGCTGCCTGCCCACGTGCCCTCCTTCCCCTTCCCCTCCTCCTTCCCCTCCTCCTTCCCCTCCTCCTTCTCCACCGCCCCCGATGTCCCCAATACAAGGCCTTGCCCCACCACATCCTCCGCTCTCCCCTCTCCGTCATTCACCCCTTCCCCCACCTGCTCTGCCCCACCTCCACCACCCACAGCGAGCACTGCCCTGCTGCCCGCTCTTAGCATGCGGCACCGCTGCTGTCTCCTGTGCGCCCCTGCCACCCACACCACAGCCACAGGCCTCGCAGCGCCACACACACCATGCCACGCGCCACTGCCGCACCTGCTGCTGCCTGCCTGCCTTCGCCTGCCACCACTGCTGCCACTCCCATTGCCCCAGCTTCTGCTCATGCTGCCTCCCCTGCCGCTTCTCCACAGGCCATTGCTGCTCGCCGTTCCCACCAATCGCCCACACACCTGCTCCCCTCCGCCCTGCCCTGCTCCCTCCCCCCATCCGCCTCCCCCCGTCCGGCCCGTCTGCCACGGCCTCACACGCAGTTGCAAGGCAACGGGCGGGGCGGCTGTGGGAACGACGACGCTGGGGGCGTGAGGGGCAGGCGAAGTGGGGGGAGTAAGAGGAAGGGCGCAGGGGTGAGCGGGGAGGAAGGGCGCAGGGGTGAGCGGGGAGGGAGGGCGCAGGGGTGAGCGGGGAGGGAGGGCGCAGGGGTGAGCGGGGAGGGAGGGCGCAGGGGTGAGCGGGGAGGGAGGGCGCAGGGGTGAGCGGGGAGGGAGGGCGCAGGGGGTGAGGACGAGCATGCGGCAATGCGTTGCATGGATGCCCGCATGGCCGTGAGGTGAGTGTCAGCACGGTGCAGTGCGGTGTGAGGGAATGCGGTGCAATGTGGTGCAGTGCGGCGACTTTCACCTCTGTGCGAGCAGCTGGCGGTGTGTGGTGACACAGAGACGCTGCATCCGCGCCGACCCCGCCATCCCGCTCCTCCTCTCGCTACGTGCCTCCGCTGTCGCTCGCACTGCGCCCTCTCCTGCGCTGCCAATGGCTGTAGATGGAAAGGGGAGGGGTTGGGGGAGAGGGAGAGGGAGAGGGAGAGGGAGAGGGAGAGGGAGAGAGAGGGAGAGAGAGGGAGAGAGAGGGAGAGAGAGGGAGAGGAGGAGGAGAATTAGATGGAAGAAATCCTGGCGGGATACAACAGGCGGGGCGAAATTCGGCGCGAAGGCGCACGACGGGCCGCGGTGGGGCGCGTGGAGGGGCGCGTGGAAGGGTTACGACCGACGAGCGGGGTGGGGTGGATGAGCGCGACTGGCGTGGTGCGGCGCACCAACTTTTGTGTGGCACGCCCCGCCCGTCTCTATGCCGCAAGCGTGGCGCGCGGGTGACGTGTGGAGTCGCGCGACAGACTAGGGGTTGCGGCGAACGGGGGACTTGGGGAGGGAGTGGCGAGAATACGTTGTGAAGAGCAGGAAGGCGGACGCCGTGTCGCGGTGACGTCAGCGCGTAAAGAGGGCGCGGGGCGGCGGAGGTTTGGAATGCCCGTTTCAGGATGGTACCGCGCCGCGAGTTTCGATGCACTGTGCGTCAGAGTCTCCGCTCGAAGCACACTTGGAGGAAGACACAACAGCAAAGGTATGTGCATACTATACGACTCGGAACACTGCGGGGTTACTCGATTTATGTAGAAGTGTTGCTTGAAAACTACCGTATTAACTAGATATAAATATCCGAACACATTGTAAAAATATGTAATTTCCATTGTAAAAGGCAAGGGCTGGAACAAATTGAAGAGAGGGTCATACAGGCATGATTTTGGAAAAATGTGAAGGTATGTCAATTTTCAAGACTGACAGTGATTTTTTCCTTTCTGACATGTCGTCAGATATGTTAGGACGCGATGTCAGAATAACTAGGCAGGAATCAGAATCAGGAAAGAGGGTTTTCACTAGCAGGCAGTTGAGTACATATATGCAAACCCTAATTTTGATTGTACTCGCTATAGAGTACCCCACTGCAGGCTAGACAAACATCACATTCTGACACACCCCCATAGTCAAAGTGGAATATAATCAGCACAGCAAGTAGGCAGAGCAGTAGGTTCACAAATACAAGCAAAGCTAGAGGCTATCACAGAGAGCAAGTGAGGAGGAGGAGAAACTGCGGGGGTGAGAAGATGGGAGGCGACGGCTGAAGCTGCAGACACACGGGCAACAGGAGTGCGCAGCACTGTCGCTACCAGGCTAAACCCGGACTACACGGCGACAGGGGGTCGCAGCTGGCTCTCTGGAGTTCAGGCGCTGCGGACGACAAGACGACTGCCTCCACTCAACTTCCCCCAGCTGTCCCACACCCCTTTCACACACCCCCTGCTGTACCTCTAGCACTGCTCACACGCCACCCGCCTTGTGCCACTCCGACGGCTCCCACACATCCACCCCCCTCAGCGGTAGCTGCAGCAGTGGGAGACGGAGGAGGAGGAGGAGCAGGAGAGGCCTGACACACCCGTCACCCCCATACTCGCCACCCCCACACTCGCCACCCCCAAACCCTAACACAGGCAGCAGCGGGGGGCGGTGCGCGGGCAGCAAATCGGGGGAGGGCGCGCGGCTTCCCAGGGCGCCGCGACGGGGCAGCGGGGGGGCCGTGCGCGGCTCCCCAAGGCGCCGCGACGGGGCAGCGGGGTCGCGCGCGGCTCCCCAGGGCGTCGCGACGGGGTAGCGGGGTCGCGCGCGGCTTCCTAGGGCGTCGCGACGGGGTAGCGGGGTCGTGCGCGGCTCCCTAGGGCGTCGCGACGGGGTAGCGGGGGTCGCGCGTGGCTCTGCGGGGCGACGAGCGGTTCGACGGGGCAGAAAACCGCCGCGCGCCTCGGGGCGCACGGCGGGCAGAAAACCGCGGCGCTCTCGGAGCGCGCGGCGAGCAGAAAACCGCCATGCGCCCCGAGCGCGTGGCGGGAAGAAAAAACGTCGCGCGCCACGGGGCGCGCGACACACAAGACAGCAGCGGAAGCATCGGGCGGGACCACCCACAGGATCGACCCAGGAGGGTCGACCTGCTCTGATAGCATGTCAGAATAACTAGGCAGGAATCAGAATCAGGAAAGAGGGTTTTCACTAGCAGGCAGTTGAGTACATATAGCAAACCCTAATTTGGGCTGTACTCGCTATAGAGTACCCCACTGCAGGCTAGACAAACATCACATTCTGACACGCGACACATGTTTTGTTTTTTTTCCAGGATCGAGGGAGATCGAAGTCTGTACACCGATTCTCCCACATCGATCGGCACACCGATGTGCCCACACTGCAAATTTACAGTATGATAGATACGCCGAGCCATGGGTGCCAGGTTCGAAATTGCATGATCGATCAGGTAGGACCGGCAGCGAAATACACCAACAGCCTAGTCGCTAACCATTCAGAGCAAAGCGGCGTTGGTCGCTATCCAATCATTTTAGGTTTGCGACCGTGGGCGACGCTGATCGATCGTGGCAGTCACCTGTGGAGCAATGTGCTCTCCCGCCAACCAAACGCACGATCGATGTGTGCACCATGGCACATCGATCGTGCGAGCTGCAGGTGCCACCATTTTGGGTACCCGTTTACTGTACATTTTCGACGTTCAGTGAAAAACGGATACCAGGCATTGACGATGTCGCCAATACACTGTACAAGCGGCACATCGATCCCCTCCCACGTATGATTGATCCTGGCGAAATCAAAACAGGTGCCGCGTCCTTACTGTACATGATTACGCAAATCCTACCGAAAGTGTCTAGATAAGCCACTTCATGCAGTTGTAAACCAGGCCCTCAGATTCGTTTTGAGCCACGTTTTTGTCAGTGTTGGTCCATAGAAAAACACTTTCTATGAGTCTTGACAAAAAAAAAAAAGCCTGAAAAATCGGTGTTGTTGACAGACTGACAACAGTGTTCAAAAGAAGCATGGTTGATTTCTTGAGTATGTATTAGAGATTTTCGAGACAGCACGTCTCAGTCTTGTGCGACGCCAGGTACAGCCAGGTACAGAGAATATACCTCGCCGTAATTGACGCTGACAGCGGAGAAAAATTGGCGAAAATTCTGGCGATTCCCAAGAATCCACGCATTTTCAGCAACAGAAATCGATTTGATGGTGTGCTTTCGAATCAGTGTTACAAGCCAGAAGTACACTGGAATTTTTGTGTTGGTACAAGAAACCTGCCTGAAAAAAATCAGTCGTGCCATTGAAAAAAAAATAATAACTTTTCAATCAGCCTAGGGGGAAAAAAAAACCCTGAAAAAAAGTGTTTCAAGACCACATCAGCGTTTTTTTCCTGACTTCTGGGGGCTTGTTGTAGACCCCTGCGTAGCTTATGCGCACCGGCGTAGCCAATTTAAACTATTTTTCGTCACCATACCCATTCCTTTAGGTAAGATCATAATAACTGTTTGTGAGGGTGAAGCTGTAGGATTATACTACGATAATAGTATCAAACTGTTGAATAGCTCAAGTCACTTATTTTCACTCCGCACTCCCTTCTAATTCTGGAGTTCGATCATACTGCGACGTCCAGTCAGCAACAAGCAGTACTGGAACTTCGATCGAGGTAGGCGCCTAGGCAAGAAATATGCGGCCATCTCGCTGCTCGGACAGTCGCGAGAAAAGGCTCCGCCCTCACATTGGCGAAGTTGTCCTCATCGTCTGATACACAGCAACTTTGGGGACAACCTATATTCTAACTGCACTTAATATGTTTGTTCAGTTATAGACTATGTGTTACAGTGAGTTAGCTTCTACATGGTACAACCCATTTAGAGTTTCCTACTCGTTTCCCGTTCCTGCCTTGTTTCATCATCCATTCTTCCGTTCTTACTTTCACATGGTATAGAGCTTAGTTCATTCTTATGAGCCCACCGCCCCGCGCCCAGCCCTAATCCCGCCAGTTCATCGCTCGTTTTAGAATTTCGCATGATCCTTGCCCGTTAGCCACCAATCGCGCCCTTACCGCCCATTGGCTCGTTCGTTTTAGGGTTTCATTCGTTCGCCGCCCGTTCGCCGCTAGTTTACCGAGCGTTGCCCGCTACCGCGCCTTCTTGCCTAGGCTGCCCGGTCACCCTGTCGCCCAGTCACCCCGTCACCTAGACACCTCGCACGCCCTCTCGTGCCCCTTGGTTCCCGCCATCTAGTGAGGCCCCCGCGGGTCATGTTTCGTCGCCTCGTAGAGGTCCCCGCTGTCAGAATATTATGCTCTAGCCTGTAGTGGGGTGCTCTATAGCGAGTACAACCCTTCTAGGGTTTGCTATTTGTATCCCCATTCTTACTAGTGCAACCCCTCCTTTGTTCATTTCTTGCTTGCCTAGCTAGGTCAACCCTAGCTATGGCTTCTCACTGTCCTTACTATCTTGACATGGTATCAGAGCGGTTACGCTCCTGTCCTGTGGGCCCACCACTTCACTGCTTCCGCTGCTACTGCTACTCCCTGTCCGCCGCGCGCCTCGTGGTACGCGGCGTTGAAATTAGGGTTTTCAGCCCGCCGTGCGCCCCGAGGCGCGCGGCGGTTCTCTGCCCGCCGTGCGCCCCGAGGCGCGCGGCGGGTTTCTGCCCCGTCACACCGCGCGTTGCTCCCGGGAGGCGCTGCGACAGGCGACGGGGACCCCCGCGTCGCCCGTCGTGGCCTGCGCGCGGCCCGTACAGCCGGCGCGCGGCCCGTACAGCCGGCGCGCGGCCCGTACGGGCTGCGCCAGGCCCGCGCGCGGCCCGTACGGGCTGCGCCAGGCCCGCGCGCGGCTCGGACCGCCTGCGCGCGGTTCGGGAGGCTGTGCCAGACCCGTGGGCGGCCCGTTCTTCGCTGCCCCTGTCCTCCCCACTGTCCCCCGTGCTTCTGAAGGCGCCCCACCCCTCCTTCTGCCCGTACTCCTTGATTAGGGTTTGGGGGTGGGGGGTATGGGGGTGCAGCTTCTGTGTGCCGTTCCCTGCTCCTCCTCCTCCTCCGTCTCCCTGTGCTGCAGCTGCCGCTGAGGGGGGTGGACCTGTTGGAGCCGTCGGAGTGGTACTAAGGGGGGGGTGAAGGGGGAGTGGAGCTAGCGGTGTAGCAGCGGGTGTGTGTCAGGGGGAGTGGGATAGTTTGGGGAGGTTGAAGGGGGTGGCCGCCGTGAAGCCAGCAGCTCCAGTCGCCCGTGAGACCGTTGCGCCAGTCGCCCGTGAGCCCGTTGCACCAGTCGCCCGTGAGCCCGTTGCTCCAGTCGCCCGTGAGTCCGTTGCTCGTCTGCCGCTACTTTCAGCCGCGGAGCCAGTTACTCCAGTAGCCCGTGTGCCAGTTGCTCCAGTTGCCAGTGTGCCAGTTGCTCCAGTTGCCCGTGTGCCAGTTGCTCCAGTTGCGCCGTGTGCCAGCAGCTTCAGCTGCCGCCCACTACCTCCTCTCCTCTCATAGTCTCTTTCCTCCTCCTCACTTGCCCGTTGTGACTACCACTGGCTTTGCTCATAATTGTGAACTTTAAACTATTGCTTCTTGAACTTGTGCTCAGAATGTGTGGTGACATTGTGATCCACCCTGAGCTTGTACTGTTTTGCTTGCTCTGCTGATTACACCCCACTTTGGCTATGGGGGTGTGTCAGAATATTATGCTCTAGCCTGTAGTGGGGTGCTCTATAGCGAGTACAACCC